TTATTTTTATATAATATCTATATTATTGATAACATTTGATTAATATGATTATATTAATATGTTAGAATAAAATTTTAATAAAATAAAAGTTAATAAAATATAAAGAATAAACTTTCGTAGGTTGCATATTATTGTTCTCAGGTATCAGATACCATTTTAATTACACGTTTTACGAAATTATTATATCTTCTAGTCTTTTTTTTTTTAATTTTTATCTTTCGAGATACCTCAATACAAGTAAATTCCAAAGTAAATTACATATCCTTTTTTATAATATAATTAACAATCGTCTACCAAATTTTTTATTATACAATATATAATATATTATATAAATAAATATAATAATATATTAAAATTTATATATTAATTTTATTCATATTAATATAATTTAAAATTATAATAATTTTATTTTTTATAAATTAAAATTAATATATAAAATATAATATATAATTAAATATAATTTATTAAACAAATATTTAGTATATAGAAAATATTAATATATAAAATTATATACATATAATATTTAATATATAAAAAAATTATTAAATATATTTTTATATAATTAAATATATCATTTAATATTAATAATATATAGAACAATATGCGATATATATAAATAATAGATACCTTTATTACACTTTGAGAATGAATGATACGATCGAACGTTTTCACGTAGATTTTAATCGATGTCAAAAGAAAAAATATAAAGTAAGAAATAGAAAGAATAAAGAGAGGAGAAAACGAATGTGTGAAAGGGAGAGAAAGAAAGAGAGAGAGAGAGGGATAGAGATTACGAAAGATACGAGAGATACGGGAAACGTTGGATATCAAAGGAACGGAAGGAAAGCATCGTTTGCTGATACTCAAGTGTCCCCGATTGAAAATAGTGCAGAATCCTGTCCTCATAGACGTCCTTGTTTTTCTTCCTTCTTCTTTTTCTTTTCCTCACTATTTTCCTCTCTTTTTTTCTTTCTCACTATTTTCATCTCTTTTTATTTTGTTTTATTTTATTTTATTTGTCCTCTTCACTTATTTACGTTTCACTGTTTAATACTGTCATTTGGGATACGGGGAAAAATGTTTAAGAACGGGGGGAGGGTAAAAAAATAAATATATTGGAATTTTCGAAGTGTCCGGCATCCGGAAGTATTTGCTTTTCAATCGACACTTCTTGGCTATCACGATACTCTTGAAAGTTTGAAAATACTGAAAAAAAGAAGGAAAAGTAGAAAAAAAATATAACAAACAAATATATCCACGTATCTTCGTTTTGTTTCATTTACGAGGGTTAACTAAAGGAGAAATTAAATGTTAAAAATTCAAACAAAAGTTCATGTGTTTCTTCTATTTTTTATTTAAAAAAAAAAAAGAAATAGAGAGAAAGATTAATCATACGTCGAAGAATAGAAAGTCCAATCCGTAGAGTAACATAATTAAATTGACTCTTTGTTGTATCATTATTAAATCATCACGTTACTTTCTTAATCAAATAATTGTCATTTTATCTTTCATGTGTATCTAACTTGCATATTTGGTATTTTCGTATTAACGTTTGTGTTTTCTCTCTCTCTCTCTCTCTCTCTCTCTCTTTCTCTTTCTTTCTATCTGTCTCTCTTTTACTATCTCGTGGAAGACCATCGCTAAAGAGTTGCGGTGGGTTTTGCGGTTGTGAAACGTTTAATGATACGAGATAATTAATTCACAAAACGTTCGATATAAAGCACGTTTCTACAATGGAGGAGGATGAGGAGGAGGAAGAGAAGATATTAAATAACATTATGAAAATCAACGTAAACCGCACAATAATTAAAGTCTTTCGGTTAATGTTCGTTCAACCTACGAAAGAGATGAGAAGATTGACCAACTAATTTAACAGAGTATGGTCAACGTAAATTACAAAATTATTAGGAAAATAAAAAATTAAAAAAGAAAGAAAAAGAAAAAATCAACATAATATAAATCTTGACAACAGAGAAAAAAAAATGTTAACTCATTCAAGACCACGACATCTTTCAAAGTTTTTCGACAACTTTCAACTTTTTTCGGTTCAAAGAGCCATTTCTATTTTTTTTTTTTTTTATTATATTGCCAATTTTACAATAGCAAATTTTATTTTTCTATACTTTAAAGATACTTTTTAAACAAAAAAAGTATTCGACGAATACTTTACTCAAAATATTGATAATAACTAAGTATAATTGCACACACAATATGCAAGTGGTCTCAAATGGTTTGAACGGGGTGGGACTACAGGTAAAACAAAAGATAAAGGCTGATAGCAGATTAATTTTATAAAAATAGTTTATCGAAAAATATTGAGATAAAGTTCGATGTTTTTTACTTAAAACATTCCCATTGACCTAGAGGCAACGAAAGGGACGGG